TTTTTGTTTCGTGTTAGATATAATTATCTGTCTGTTATTATAAATATAACTTTCCATCACAATAAATGTTCAATTGTTGGGGACTAAAGACATTACAAAAAGTTTCAAGTTGTGCTTGCAACACAGATTTGTACCACCATAAAATTGTGGACATGTACAAAATAATTCTAAGGGCCATATGTTGCTGTCGGTTAGCATTTCAGACACACCTGATCCAAATTATTACATTTTAGCTATGGCTGTATGTTTAGCTAAATCCAGTTTCCAACAAACCTCTGATCAGCTTTAATGTCATTACAAAAGAAAACCCCCACCATTATGCTACCACCACCATGTCTTACTTTCTAGTCATCATTTCTTTCTTTTTTTGAAGTACCAATGTTAGATTTTACCTTAAAGCACCTTCCTCCAAATTTCACTTTTAGCACATACTGAGAGAAATACTGATGATGCCCAGTTCAATATTCTGTTTGATTTCAGGGGACACTGAAAGCTGATCTTTTATATTAAGCTCTACGTGAGGCTCTGTCCACTCTAGAAGACAATTTTATATCTATGCTAAATAAAATATGTTTTTTCTTTTATTTTTTCTTTACTACAAAAAATGTAATACATTCTGGGACTTAATCCTTTGTTTAAAATATTTTAGTAGCACACTTTTTTACTCTCCTCGCTAATTTTCTTTACTTTAAAGTCTCTTTCCAAAAATGATTTCAGGGCTGCAATCTTAATTTATACATTTAGGCTGATGTCTCCTATAGTGTAATACATTTTAAGGTCATCTCAGGGCAATCAAATCTAGTGACCTGAGATTTTCTGAGGACATTTTGCTGTGAAGCATCTGAACTATTTAAAGAAAGCCCTCTGTTAGCAGAACGTTTGATATAGAATATTTTGGAAAATTTATGAATATAACAAATTTCTCTTGGCTTAGGTTCACCAATCAGCCCAAATGTATTCCAGTAGCGCCATCTATCGGTATAAATAGCTATGCACCTCTAATGTGATTAGACCACAGAAAATAGAGATCTGTGGTTTAGACAGGCGATTTAATAAGCTAACATTTTTTTCCTGATCCATAGTAGTGCATTAAGATCTTTGCAAAAAATATGGATACAATTAACTACCTAACCGCAGCCACCTATTAGTTTTTTGGTATACAACATGTAGGGTTATCAACATGAAAAAAAAGAGAACTAGGTCAAAGATGATTGATGGTTTTCCTTTTTGACATATCGGTGAAATATTATAATATTGGTAAGATATTCAAATACACCCACTGGATAAAAAAAAGACAATTTTTTTTATCATTAAACGATGCGCGTTATTGTTCCATGTAAAAGAACAACGTTTCCCACAAATCAGTGCGGCCGCGTGATCCCTCCAGTCAACTGCTGGCCGGATCAGCAGCTCGCGGAGTCGCGTTTGTGTGTACGTTTCCATGGAGATAGCTCACGCACACACACAACTAAAAGGAGTTTATCGTGAGTGCGTCGCTACTGCTTCTCCCTTCAGTTTATCTGGAGCTGACAGGCAACGGTTGAAGAAAGTCGCCCTAACTGGTGAGTCTAAAACACAACAGCGGAAACTGGAAGGAAGGAAGCTGATAAGACATAAAACAAAGTGTATTTTCCAGGTATTTAATGTAGGCTACTTTAAAACTCAGCCAGTTTGATCTGTTTGTCTCTTCTGGAAACTATGGCGGCTTAATACGTTTTGATAAACTATGTTTTTATTGTTTAATAGAACTTTTATAGGCTATATCATCAGCACATGTGAAGTTTTTGTTTTGTATGAAGGACTGTGTGTAATTGACATTGATTAGCTTCTTAATGTAATGTGGCCTTGGTACATCCTAATCCCTTTAAATCCCCTCCAGCACATTTTAGGCCAATGAACCTCCGGCCTTTTTCTTTCATTGTCCTCACATTCTCAGAGTTACTGGGCGATAGAGCTGCTACTTGTTTTGATAAAGTAGTGGGACTACCTTAAAAGAAAGATAAATACAATCCCTGGGTTGGAAACACAATATTTATTTGTTAAGATGTGTCACATTCACAACACATGTCATCTCTAGTTACTTTACAGGTCACCAGATTATACAGTCAAATTGATTCCGAATTTTCTATCTAAGGAAAACCAGTTGATTGCATTGACTAATTGACTTCAGCAATCCCTCACACTAAGCATGCCTGTAGGGACAGTGGAGAGGAAAAACTCCCTTTTAACAGGGAGGCCGACTGGGGTTCAAGGAGACAGAAGCAGAGATACATATGTATATATATATGTATATATATATATATATATATATTTGCTAGAATCTTTTGCAGCTGTAACACCACAGTTTCCCCATTGTGGGACAATGAAGGGATTTTCTATTTTATTTTTACATACATTTGCCTTTAAATGATAAATCATATATGGATATTTAAAGTACTGCAGGGATTTTCAGCATACATGCATACACACAGAATAAATAATGCATCATCCAAATGCTGTCAATGTCTTTTCTCAGAGGAGTCATCCCCTGAGAATCAGGGAAGCTTAGGAACTGCAAAACTTTCTAAAGAAAAAAAAAATCTGAAAGAAATCTAAATACTGCATGCGCGTTGAAGTAGATGTTCTTGCCGATGTTGTTTAGAAAGCAAGGTAACCGGCTGATATCAGCTTGTTAGGCTCCCAGAGTGACATAATAAAAAGTAGAAGAAAAAAAGGGTAAAATATTCTGTGCAAAAACTAAATTTAGCAGGGATATATTTTATTTCCAAGTCTGGCACGGAACTGTATGAATTTCATTCAGAATAACACAAAAACATTTTAGATAACTTTTAGATAAATTTTAGAATATAATACATTAAGTCAACTATTAATATTGTTCGTTTTATGTCAGAACAACCAAATTATGTAAAAGCTGTTACTTTTAGAATGTTTGTAAACACTGTAAAATTTAAATAGCTAAACTATGAGATTCTCTCACCAGCCCATGCCTGTTACTAAGATTATCACATTTCCATAATAAGCTTTGTCTGAAAACAAACAGAAAATAACCAAAACATGTCCATATTCATTGGAACATTCAAGTAGCATATCAGTTCCTCGCACCGTGCAGCAAACTAAAGGAGAACAGGAGATATGTTTTGTAAACTCTGTAGCTCTGGTCCCTGTAGTTTTTTCTGAAACCCTCAGGAGAGATGATTTGCATGAACATAACAGCCAAACAGTTTGATCACTTTGCCCTGTGGCGTCAATCAAATCCTCATGCCAGGCAGGGAGGCTGGGGAGCGCTGTGGACGCTGGTAAGCACGTTGGTGATGTAACAACCTATTTACATCTCCTGAGACTAATCCCTCTAGGGCGACCTGTGTCATCACACTGGGGGTTCATCTCGCAGCTTCCTACAAGACTAATGTGCTGCACACCTGATCCTTCTCATTTAGGCAAGCAAGCAGGAAGTGGAAGCATCATCTTTGTCCTGACCTAAGCTGAGTAGGTGTATGTTAATAATAGTGACATATTACTGATGGATTTCACTTTATCTTTCTTCTCAGATGCGTCTTTTCTGCAAACTTGACTGCATCACGAAGATCCGCTCCTTATAAAGATGGACAACGGACTGCAAGATCACATTTAAGCTCTTGACGAGATTTTAGCTGTTGGAGTGTTTTTGGAAAAGGAACAGGAAACTTTTGAGTGCCGGACTGTAGTCTACGCCAGAGAAAATGAACAGGGAAGATATTTGAGTAACACATTTGAGCTGTGTATCTAAAAAACAGAAGTGCAACCAAGAGGCTGATGAAATCGCTTTAAAAGAAGATGAATTGCTACACGATCCTGAAGCAGCTGGGCGATGGCACCTACGGCAATGTGCTGATGGCAAGAAGTAATGAGTCTGGAGAACTTGTAGCTATCAAGAGGTAAGGATTGAATTTATCATTGAATGTTGGTGACTATTTTTCTGCCAATTATAAAATACCTATCAAGAATATAATTTAGAAAAATTTATTATATGACACTTTTACATTATT